AGTTGCCTGGGAAAAGAGACCAACCCCCCCCCTGGCTCCCCCCTCCTGTCAGGGAGTTGTAGAGAGTGAGGAGGTCTCCCCTGAGCCTCCTCTTCTCCAGGCTGAACAGCCCCAGCTCCCTCAGCCTCTCCTCATAGGACTTGTGCTTGAGTCCCTCCACCAGCCTCGTTGCTCTCCTCTGGACCTGCTCCAGGACCTCAATATCCTTCCTGAGCTGAGGGCCCAGAACTGGACACAGTACTTGAGGGGTGGCCTCACCAGCACTGAGTCCAGGGGCAGAATCACTTCCCTGGACCTGTTGGCCACACTGTTCCTGAGCCAGGCCAGGATCCATTGGCCTTCTTGGCCACCTGGGCACACTCTGGCTCCTGTTCAGCTCCCTGTCAATCCAAACTCCCAGGTCCCTCTCTGCCTGGCTGCTCTCCAGCCACTCTGTCCCAGCCTGTGGGGCTGCAGGGGGTTGTTGTGGCCAAAGTGCTGTCTTGATTTCTCTCATTTTACACTGTGAAGTATGAACATTGCTGCAAGAAAGATTTGTCTTGGCCTTTCCCTGGGGTAGTTTTTGGTCAGTTGTTTGAAGAGTCAGCGCCTTAATGTCACTGTCCAAATGAACCCCCCCAATGTCTGTCCCACAGCTGCCCCTGGGCCGCCAGTGCGTGGAGCATTACCGGCTGCTGAACCGCTACTGTGTGTTCTCCCACGATGAGATGATCTGCAAAATGGCTTCCAAAGCAGATGTTCTGGACGTTGTGGTGGCGTCTACGGTCCAGAAAGACATGGCTATTATGATTGAAGAGGAGAAGAGGTTGCGTGAGAAGGTGGATAAACTGGTGAGTTGTTGGAAATAATAGTTTGGGTTGGAAGGAACCTAAAAGCTCATCTCATTCCACCCTCCTGCCGTGGACAAGGACACCTTCCGCTAGACCAGGTTGCTCCAAGTCCTGTCCAACCTGACCTTGAACACTTCCAGGGATGGGATTTATTATAATGAATGAAGGAACAGTTGAAACAGTGATGTGAGGACATGCTGGTACTTTTAGTGGGGAGTCAGTGGCTTAGAGGTACATAGTTCCTTCCTGTGTCATGAATTTCAGAGGACCACCTGGGTAAAGAATCATTTATTGTGCACCTTGTTTTAGCACCTGCCCTTTAATATTGTTCAAATGTTGCTTTTAAAATAATATTTCTCCTTTCAGTAATGTAGTCAGAAAAGCTGTTTTTTCATTACCAAAATTTCTGTCTACCTGGGTTTAATATCTTATTTCTAAAAACTTCATTATTCCTTTGATAAATTTACCTTCTGATGTTTTAGCTTGGAATAGTCACCTCTTTGTAACAGTCACCTCTTTGTTAGGCTTTGAAGTGATGTAACACTGTCTTGCAGGGAGTGACCGACTCAGAGAGGGTGACATTTGAGCTGTTCCCTGATGACGAGCGACAGTGTTTGAAGTGTAAAACCACCTGCTTCATGTCAGCAGTTTATTGTCCCTGTAAACCTGGATTGTTGGTGTGCTTGTACCATGTTGAGGACCTCTGCTCCTGTCCCACCTACAAATACAAAGTGGGGTAAGCTTGAGATAGCAAATAATACCATGATCTGAAGTTAATATTGTCTGTGTAGGTACTGTGGTTTGGTAATCTGCTGCTTGCTTTGTTGTCAGTAGGGCTGGTTTCTGTTTCTGTTTCAGTCCTTTGCAAATCCAGTGCCCCCATAACAACGGGCCTGTTTTGTGCTTGCACACAAAGCCTCTTTCTCTTCAGCATTCAGCTCTTCTTGCTCTATAATGGCAAAAATTGCTGGCTAAGTTAGTTTGCATTTTTATTTATAGCAACAAGGTCATTGTCCCTTATATCCAGTCCTTGCCAGGACATATTGTTTTGCTTTTCAGAGCTTTCCTTCCTGTTGTCAGCTTTCCTTTGCTATTTGGTAGATCTTTGTCCTACGTGAATGGAGCTTTCTTTAAGACAGTTTCACAATTCCTTAATTGTCCTGCTGAAATCGCTTTTTGAAGTAATTGCAACTCTGAAATTGTCTCAGGAAGAGCCGTGGTGTGGTTGTAGGTCTCAATTTGAGTCCTGTGCTGCCTGCAGGTACCGCTACACCCTGGAGGAGCTGTACCCGATGATGAACGCGCTGAAGATGCGCGCGGAGTCGTACAACGAGTGGGCTTCCAACGTCAACGAGGCTCTGGAGGCAAAAATTAACAACAAAAAAAGTGAGCATCTTACCTGTTGTCTGCAGCACATAAAAAGGGCTCATTTTTCCGTTTTTTAGTAGCAACGTTTTTCTTATGTGACAGCCAAAAGAAGTCATATGTCATTTCATGTTTTAAAGTGAGTATTTCAGCTGTTACAGTCCCAGAAATGATGCTAAGCTATCTCTGTGTGACGAGACTGTAAATCACTTTGACACAAAATGAAACTGGAGTAGAAATAGAAATGCATTTAATGTGTTGTGTTTCTAAGCCTTACCGTGGAAATCCATGGCAGAGGGAGACTTCTTAGCTTAATGTCTTTCTCAACAGGTCTCATCAGTTTTAAGGCTTTGATAGAAGAATCAGAAATGAAAAAGTTCCCAGACAACGACCTGCTGCGACACCTCCGGCTGGTGACACAGGACGCGGACAAATGTGCCTCAGTGGCCCAGCAGCTGCTGAACGGCAAGAGACAAACCAGGTAAGTGTCACTGTGTGTCTGCAGCAAAATCGAGGCACCAGAGGTGGATGTCAGTGGCCAGTGATGGCCTCCAGTGCTCTGCAAGACTTAAAAGTTGGAGGAATCTCTCAGTGTCCTCAAGAGAGCCATCTTTGACAGGGAGATTCACCTTTATTGTGTGTAATAACTTAAACATTCTGAGCTTTCAAATCTCCTCTTGCTCCGTGTGTGACAGCTGGGCAGTAAATTTACTCCAGTGTTCCCTGAAAGGAAAAAATGGTGTGGTACAAAGTCACAGCCAACAAGATACAGTCCACTTGTCTTTGTGCCACGGGGGCTGTAAATCTGTCCATAGTGCAGGTGTCATTGTATTCATTACTCTCTGTCTTGTGGAAAAATGAAGTGCCTTAACTCCCTGAGCTGTTGCTAGTGGGAATGTTGTATGAAAACTCTGAAAAATACCTGCTCTTTATATTGAATCTTTTAGACAGGTTATTTGCTCAAGAGATTTGAAGGTAGGGGTTTGAGTAACACATCCTTTGTGAACTGTCTGCCTGCTCCTGCTGGCACTTCCATGTCTGAAATAAGTTGAAAAGAGCCAGAAGAACAGAAGACCAAGGCCAGATCTCCTCATTACATGAGTCTGGTGTGCCTGTATTGATATAAGAGCCTTTCTCTCAGGATCCACAAGTTACCATCTTCTACTGCACATTCTCCACCCACACACAGAATCCCAGACTGGTCTGGGGTTAGAAAGGACCCTAAAGATCATCTTGCTCCACCCCCTGCCATGGGCAGGGACACCTTCCACTAGCCCAGATTGCTCCAAGCCCTGTCCAACCTGGCCTTGGACACTTCCAGGGATGGGGAAGCCATAGCTTCTCTGGGCAACCTGTGCCAGGGCCTCCCCACCCTCACAGGGAAGAATTTCTTCCCAATATCCCATCTAACTGTGCTCTCCTTCAACTTAAAGCCATTGGTCATGGCACCCACACTCACCATGGGCACATCGAGCCTCAGGGGACAGTGGTTTCTAAGAAAATGTTGTGTTTATGTATGTGGAGGACAATATTGCTCATGTCCAACAGTCTTAAGTATGGAGTACTCCAGGAAAAATTGAGTCTCATTTGTTCCATCTGGACAACTTTCACCCATTTCTGCTGATTTGAACAACATGGTGTTTGTTGGAGCAGTTGGTTTTTGTGCTGGTGGAACTGCACGTGTGTGGTTCCTGCATGTTACTTGCCTCAGCAGGAGCTGTGTAGCTTGTCACTCCTGTGTTCTTGCAGTACTTCAAAGACTGGCTTGGAAGGACTTCTGGAGTAGAATATTCTGCTGTCACATTTAGACATGATTCTTGTCTTCCTTCCTGGTGATCTCTGTGTAAGCCTTTGTAGCAGGGACTTGATAAAAATTCACCTTTGCTGTCTTGCACACACAAGAGGATGAAGCCCCTCTTCATGTTGCTTTTATGTGTCATAGCAACATAAAAATATTGCAACTGGGAATGAGAAATTCAGCACTCCCACAGGCTTTGGCCACGCAGGGAACTTCCAACCTGGACATTTGTGGCACCATCATCAAAGACTTGTTCACTCCTGATCTTCTCCTTCATTTGGTGTTGAGCCATCTCTTCTCCTTCTGGCATCCCCTGTCTGGGTTCTCCCATCCCTGGTGTTTGCTCAGGTCTCCCGATGCTGAACTGGGAGCAGCAGCCAGGCCCTTCCCAGCTGCTCTGTGCCACATGGGTCCTTCCTGCTCTGAATGTGTCCCTGACTTTGCTTGGCCTGGGAAGAGCTGGGAGCAATTTTTATCTTCATCTCCTTGACTAGGTCTGTTCTCTTGTCACCATGAGAGGCTCTCAGCCTTCCTCACAGCTGGGCCTGCCAGCCCCTGGGGCATCATCCTGTGCTGCTCTACACAGCAACAAGGCAGCACTTGGACTGAGAGTCTAGTAGAGGCTTTAGCCCTTCTCTCACCATTTCTACTTGGATCTTTTTTTGGCATGTTTCTGGGAGAAGTCCAGTTTCAGGTCTTCATAATTTTTAGGAGTTTTAAAAAACCACGGTACTTGATTATCTTTTTTCTTAAAAGATTGAAGAGGGGAGTGCTCATAACCTGCAAAGGAAGATATAAAGAAGAGAATTATCTGTTTAATTTCTTAGTAAGTGTTACATGAAATACAGATTTATCTGCCTGAAGCTGCAGGATGCTGGGCAGCCTTCATCATGCTGAGTGCCAGGTGTTGGTTGGGAAGGATTGTGGATTCTGCTTAAAATTTGGTTCATGCTTTTGGCAAACTTTCCATTATGGACTGAGCATTTTTGTCTGATCCCAAATTTGGAAGAGTTGTGCAGGAGACTTGGCTCCTCTGGGAAGGTTGTCCCTGTTAGTCATGGCAGTCAGTGACACGGGAGGATCTCCTCCAGTATAGCCAACACAGCAGTTCCTGGGGAGAAGACCAGGAGAGATGATGATATTGTCTTAGACTAAATCCTGTCATTCTTGCTCACCAGTTTGTCTGCATTACCTGAAGAGATGCAAATGGGCTGTACATCCCTATTTCCTCTGCTTCTCTCAGTGCTGGGGGATTAAACCTCCCCAGATGCTGGTTGGAAGAAGTTCTGTGAACATCTAAATCAGGCCAGAGCACAGCGTGTTCCTCCTTCTCCTGACACTGAGAGGGGACAGTGTTTCTGACCTGCTGCCATAAAGGGATGTTCTCCCTGTCCATCCTCTTCCCTCTCTAGGCCTCGTGAAACTTGTTCTGCTCCTTAGTTTCCAAGAGTTTAGAGACCTTATGCTTGGAGAACTTTGTGATTAAATAACCCTGGATGGACGTGGAATGGCTTCTGTCTGGCTTTTTCTTAGGCTCATGTATTTTCTGGTTATCAAAAATGTCTTGTGAGAGTCAGTTTTGCCATTTAGATATGTATATGTAAATAAATATTTATGTATTTAAAAACCTGTGCCTTTCCCTAGAAGATACAGTAGAGCTTCCACAGAAAACAGTAGAACAAAGCACACTGTAAGGAAACCTGTGTTGTACCTGAGGCTTTGAATTCATTTTATTGTTCAACTCTCCGTGGGGTTTTGAACTCCCAATGTGATCCTGTGTATCCTATAAAAATACCTATTTTTAACCCAGAGTGGTAAATTAAAATTAATTTTATAGTGTTCACATTCCAGTCGTGCTGGCATATCCTGCTGGGCTGTTGTTCTCTTTTGTGTAAATGACACACTGTGGATTCAGTTGGAGCCAGCATTGTAAGGGATCTCTTTCCTTTTCTGTTCAGGGTTCTCAGACCTCGTTAATAGTGGCTTGAGTTTAGAGAGGTTTTTAATATTGGCCAGTTTGTTAACACTTCTAAGCCACTCATTTGATACAAAGCTTTTAGATAAAAATAAAAGTGCTGATTTCAGCGTAGAGAGGATTTTTCAGAAGTGCCTACACGACCTGTCAATATAAAACCCATTCAGAATTGGGATTTGTTCTCTTTTGGTGTGGGCATGGGCAGAGCTGACTACAATAGCTATTGCAACATAACTGAATAGTTTATCCACAGTTGCTTTGTGTTCTGGAAAAAAGCCTAATTTTATTCCATAATAACCAGTGCCCTTCCCAGGCTGAGTAGTTGTTCCAGAATCCCATTTAATATGAGTGTTTCAACAATAGCTCGTTCTGCTGTGGCAGACTGAGGTTTCTCATGTATGTGAGCCCTGGGCTGCTTGGGTGCTTGTGAATATTCTGTTATTCCTCAGTAAGGCCTGACTGACAAGAAATCATGAGCGGATGTTAGGGAATCCAAAAAATCTGGGATGTTCGGGGTTGGAAGGAAGTTTAAAGCTCATCTTGTTCCACCCCCTGCGATGGGCAGGGACATCTTCTGTAGACCAGGTTGCTCCAAGCCCCGTCCAACCTGGCCTCGGAGTTCAGATATTTTATTTCTATTTTTTCCAGTGGTAACCAGGAAAGCTGAACCGTGTCATTGCAGGTACCGCTCCGGAGGAGGGAAGTGTCAGAACCAGCTGACAGTGAACGAGCTCCGGCTGTTCGTGAGGCAGCTCTATGCCCTGCCCTGTGTCCTCAGCCAGACACCGCTGCTCAAGGTAACTTGGAAATGCTAGAGGAGAGAACGTGAGCGTTTGCAGGGATGGATTTGCCCTGCATCCATCTCCTGTCTCACTGTTTGCTCCAGGAACTAATACCTGTGCACTGGCAGGCCGGAGTGACCTGTGCACAGGGGATTCAGGAAGGGAGCTCTGACCTGCTGGAGTTCACAGGCAGCAGAGTTTTATACTACACAGGCAAATCAGAGTGTTAGTGTTGTATAAAGGAGTGCAGGAGAAGCAGCAGGATGACTTGGGCAACTACAGGTTAAAAGTTTGAGGTCAGTTAACTGGTCTGCTCTTGAGAGAAACCAGGTTAATGTGAGAACATTCAAACTCCACAGTACTCTGAGGGAGCTCTCTCTTATCACCTTCATTCTTTGTTAGTCTGGAATCAGCTTTCTTATAATCTTGTAATTAGATCCCTCCTCATGTTCTCTACCCACATTCCAGGAAACCCCACAGATAACTCCAGCCAAACCCAGCCCAGGCTGCCCAAATCTTTGCTCTAGTAGAGAACGTGCTGCTGTCAGGGAGCCAGGTCACTGTGTCCCCCACACAGCTGGTGCTGTTTCTGCGCTCCCCAGATGATCAGCCCTCAGAGGAGCTGAAAGTAATTCAAAATTTCACTTCAGAATTTGCCAAAATGTTGCATATCACACCAAGGGGCAATTAAAAGAAAGGAAAATAAAGTCTGGGCAGCTGCAATTCCTGTCTTAAAGGAGAGAGCTTTGCATATTTGTGACACCTGGAACCAGGAGATGCTGTGTCCAGCTCCAGAACTGTCCCTTAAGTGTCCATCCAGCATTGAGAGACCAGACAGTGTTGTGTAAGTGAATGGGAGTAGACCAGTTCAACTCGGCTTTGGCCGCTGCCTCGGAAGCTTTATCAGCCCTGCAGTGTGTGGATCAGATTTGATACAATCCTATTTACAGTTTTTTGTTTATAGCACTGGAGCTGTGAAGTTCTCTTGCTGGTTGAAAAGCAGAAGTTTGGAAATTCCAGACATGCAAACAGTTCCTCTCCATCTGGCATTCTTGAACAGGGAAATAGCAAACACATATGGTCAGGGTGTTCCTTTATATCATCCTCAACAAGCCTCAATTATATGGAGTCATGTAAATCACGCTGTTAATGTAAATGACCAACAGTAACTGGAGATGGGTTCCCAGTTTAATCTGTCTCTTATAAAGGCTTTATTCCATGCTGGGGGAGGCTGCCCACCCTGGGAAACAGTCTTGCTGGCAAGATGCCAAGGTGTCAGCTGTGAGGGAAGAACTTCCTGCAGGAACAGCATTTCAGACAGTACTGGGAGCACTGGGCAGGATGCTCCATGCAGAATAATCCCAGCCTCGGCAGTGGGATTGCTCTGGGTGACTGTGCCTTAACCTGGGAAAAGTGCAAACAGCCCCAGAGGTACCTTTTAGGGTGATTAGCTGCAGAGTGTATGGAGAGAGAAAGAGTAGCAATGCATGAGAGAGTAAAATGCCTGTGGCTCATTGGCACTGTGGGGTGCAGCTCAAAAACCTTCAGTGCAGCAGAAATGAATCCCAGAGTTCTTCAAAGCCTTCGTAATCCTCACTTTTCTGTTCCTCAGCTGCCATTCTGAACCATTGCAGAACAAAGCCAGATGGCAGCACTTGTGGCACACTCAATTTCCCTTTAGATTGTTCTTCCCAACCCTCTTTCTGACACCTGTCTCAGCTCACAGGAGTTGGGGGTGGAATTCCCTTGTTCTGGGATACTCAAGCTTGTGGCCACATTATGTATGAGGAGGTGCTGGTACGTACATTGTCTGTTGAAGACACAGTTGAAGTGTTCCAGACATTGGGATAATTTGCCCATGCACTGTGTGTGTGGCAGTGGGGTGTTTGCCAGGAGCCTGCACTCCATGGTTAACCTTGCACTTCCATGGTTAAGTGACTTGGCAGTGGATTTTTCTCTGATTTATTGTTGCATCTGTGTATTTCAGGACCTTCTTGACCGTGTGGAAGCTTTCCAACAGCAAAGCCAAAAACTCCTTTCTGAGGAAATGCCCAGTGCTGCGGAGCTGCAGGAGCTGCTGGACGTCAGCTTTGACTTTGACGTTGACCTGCCCCAGCTGGCCGAGCTGCGGACGCGCCTGGAGCAGGCCCGCTGGCTCGAGGATGTGCACTTGGCTTCCTCAGACCAAAACTCCCTCACTCTGGATGACATGAGGCGTCTCATAGACTCGGGGGTGGGACTCGCGCCCTACCCGGCGGTGGAGAAGGCAATGGCGAAGCTGCAGGAGCTCCTCACCGTGTCCGAGCACTGGGATGACAAAGCCAGGAACCTGATAAAGGCCAGGTAGAGCTAAATCTCAGTGTTGCCTTTTGGAATTCCATGAGCTGTTCCGGATGGAAGTGCCATGACTCCTGAAGAGGCTCCCCTTTGTTCATCCAGTTCACAGCAGGAAGGCAAAGCTTGTTCCTGCCAGAAGGGACAGGGCTGGAGAAGGAGAGTGAGGCATGGAGTCATTTTTGGTTGCAGGGCTGGAGAAGGAGAGTGAGGCATCGAGTCATTTTTGGTTGCAGGGCTGGAGAAGGAGAGTGAGGCATCGAGTCATTTTTGGTTGCAGGGCTGGAGAAAGAGAGTGAGGCATGGAGTCATTTTTGGTTGCAGGGCTGGAGAAAGAGAGTGAGGCATCGAGTCATTTTTGGTTGCCTTGCCATGTTTGTGGTGCTCCACCATCATTATGCAAATTCTCCTTTTACCACAAGAAAGAGGTTTAAGATGCTTCTTCCTTCTTTTTCACCTTCTTCTCCCACCCAGTGTCAGGCTGGAGGATGTGAGTCCAGATGGAGCTTAGATATGTACCACCAATGGGTAAAATTTATCGTCCATGTAGGACTATTTCTAACTAACAAGGAGGAGACTTTTCCATATTATTTGGTGCAGGGGAAAAGGAAACAGGCCAAATACATCCTTACTAAGAAAAATTTTCTTGCTTGTTGTTTTGACCTCCTGATTTCTAAAGAAAAATGGGGGTGCTGCAAACTTGTGTGCTGGGTTTTTCCCTTCAAGATTCTCGACTTTCCCTTTTCCCTTTCCTCTCCTTTCTCCTTTTCTCCTTTTCTCCTTTTCTCCTTTTCTCCTTTTCTCCTTTTCTCCTTTTCTCCTTTTCTCCTTTTCTCCTTTCTCCTTTCTCCTTTCTCCTTTTTTTTCCTTTTTTCCAATTTTGCCCCAGCCTCATACTTACGAAAGCATGGGAGTATGTCTTACCCACTACTAACCAGAGTGTTTTAAAATAACTTAATAGAGCACAGAGCTGACTAAACTTGGGTTTAACCTCCAATATTGAGCTGTGTTGTGTTTGTACCTTTCTAAAACCACGAAATCAAACTGGGAAGTGGAGAAAAGCCAAATTTCAGTGGTTTAACCCTCTAAAGCAGAATCTTTCAGCTGCTGCTGGTTGGGATTTTGGTGAGTGTTTGAGGATCCAGGGTTCTGTCATTGAAAAGTTAATGAAAGGTGAATCTTCCTTGAGTGAGAATGTTTCTAGTAGGAGCCTGGAGCGAGCCAACATTTCTAAAGCTCCCCTGCATTCCCGATGCCCAGACTGTGCTGGGTGCAGCCCAGGGCTGGACATAACACCATTATTTGGTGTGACCCTCTGATTTTAATGGCCCTGGTGAGTAGAAGAGCCCCCTCTGTAATGCAGCATCTCACATCTGAGCTGTTGTGCTCCCCAGACCCCGACAGTCCCTGAGCAGCCTGGCAGCAGCAGTGAAGGAGCTGGAGGAGATCCCAGCCTACCTCCCCAACGGAGCGGCGCTGAAGGACGCGGTGCAGAAGGCCAAGGACTGGATACAGGAGGTGGAGGCTCTGCAGGTACATGAACTGTGCTCGTGGCTGCTGGGCAGGGACAGTGACCCTGCCCAGGTCACCAGAGCCACCCTCTGCACCCTGGCTGTGCTCTGGGGCTCCAGAGCCCGGGTGTGCTCTGTGTTTCCCGTGTCTGTGCTGCCTGTTCCCTCGGCCATGGTGCAGTTACACTCACTGCCCTGATTTTTGCTTGGTTCTGCACTTGATCTGTGCTCCTTCACCTTTGCAGCTAACTGCAGTAAACTCTGTAAAGGAGCTGTTAGCAAAAATCTCAACTTAAAAAGCTGCTGTATTATGGAACTTTACCTTAAGGTCAGTTTTGCTCAGTAACAAGTCCCTGTTAATCACACTTTTGTACCACACTGAGGTACAGTCTGGTGATACAGAAGTGGTTTCCTGGCTCAACCTTGCGAGTGCTTGAGCCAGAGGTCAGTTGAGACTGTCCAGATCAGGCCAGGGTGGCACTGGGGTAGCCCAGTTTCACATTTTAATATAAGTTGCCAAATATTTTTTTATATTTTTATTTGTCCTTGTGTTTTTTCCATAAAGTGAACTCTGATCTGACTTAGGAGTATTTTCAAGCCTCTTTAGCCTAAACTGAGCTTTCTATAAAAACTTCTTTTGAGCTTTTATTTAAAAAGTAATTGTCCTGGGCTTAAATATTTTGAAGGAATAAAGTTCATGTTATACTAACTTTTGTTTGAGGGCTTTCTTGAAAGGTCTTAAGTGAATTACTCATGGCATTTGAAAATTTCTTGGTCTGGACACTGAAATTTTGCCTCCTGGATATGGAAAAATGTGTCTGTCTGTGCCAAGAATTTTTGCTTCAGTTCTGTGAGGGTTTTAGTAAATGCCTGTGGTCGCTGTGACGTACGTTCTTGGTATCAGGAGGTTGCTAGCTTGGATGTTGCTGGTAGAGGTGTTGGGGTTGCTTTGGGGGAGTAGTTTTCCAGTCCCACATCACTGCCCGTTCCAGAAATTACCTCTGGAATTAAATCTTGGTGCCACTTCACTTCTGGGTGTGTTGTACCTGCATGGCCTGAGGCATGGGCTGCCAAGGGAATGGCCAGAGCTCGCTCCCAAATGGCACACGGGATACTGGAGATGGTTCATGGACTGGGTTGGACTTGACTTCTGGTGCTGTTGCTCCCTACAGTTACCTGACAGGAGGCTGGAGCCAGGTGGGGGTTGGGCTCTTCTCCCAGGTAACAGTTACAGGACAAGAGGAAATGGCCTCAAGTTGCACCAGGGGAGGTTCAGGTTGGATATTTGGAAAATTTCTTCCCTGCAAGGGTGGTCAAGCCCTGGCACAGGCTGCTCAGGGTTAGTGGAGTCACAGAGAGATTTAAAAGGTCTGGGGACGTGGGTTAGTGGTGGCCTTGGAAGTGCTGGGTCAATGGCTGGACTTGATAGTCTTGGAGGTCTTTTCCAATGTTAATGATTGTGATTCCATGATTTCAGAATATTTCCATTTTCTGCTGTGAATGCAGAGCATGAGATTGTGAGGTTGCTTTTATTGCTGGCAGTCTCTGGGGTTTTTTTGGGTTTTTTTTGTCATTTGGGAAGTGTGTTCTTCCTTCCACCCCCCAGTGTGGTGTTAGTTTTGTTTGTGTAGTCTGACTCACACACAAGCAGCACAAGTGTTGGATTAACAGCTGTGGAGGTGACTGAGGTGTTTGAGCAGTAAATTCATTTTTACGAGCTCTACCTTCAGTTCACTGAGTGGCTGCTGGGACTCAGGGCAGTGCTCTGTCCTGTGTACATCGAGGATTTCCTAATTTACAACCCTGCAGGTTGGGGGACGTGTGCCCGTGCTGGACACGCTGGCGGAGCTTGTCACGAGAGGTCGATCCATCCCAGTGCACCTGGATTACCTGCCGAGGCTGGAGGCCCTGGTGTCCGAAGTGCAGGCTTGGAAGGAATGTGCAGCCAACACATTCCTGTGCGAGAACTCTCCCTATTCCCTTCTGGAGGTAAGAGATCCCAGCTCTGCAGATCAGCCCTGACAGTCACAGCACAGGTACACAGAGCTACAGTGGGACCTCAGGAAGGAGCAGGAAATATTAAGTATATTTGCAGAATTGCTTTAGGAGTATATGAATTATTTTAATATCATTTTCATTAGCGACCAATACTTTTAATGATAGTTTTAAATTTTTGATATGCTTAAGATTTAGGTATGCTTTCTCTATTCTTCTTAATCAGTAGCTAACAAGAGCAGGCAGTGCCAGTGTCTGACATCTTCCATATTAGTATGGGAATATTGACAGATCTGTGGCTCTGGATTTACTCCAGTGTGTCAGGCCGAGCTGCAGGTGTGCAGTTCATTCCTGCTCCATCCTCCTCAGGCTCAGTGTCAGGCTGTAGCTGCATTCTCTGCTCCTCTGCATTTGGAGGGGGTGGTGTCACACCTGCAGTCCTTGAGCAATCCACTCTCTGCCCTACACCGAGCCCCTCTGACCCCCCCAGTCCTCCTCTCCCATCAGGACAGATGGGAATGCAGGGCAGTCCCTGGCATCTGTTTTTTTCCAGGGTTTGCAGTTTCAATCCCACGAAGGCTGTTTAGCGTCTCGGGTGTCTCTGTGTACCAGCAGTTTGGGTGAAATGCAGGGGTGTTTGGGTCTGGCCATTTTATAAAACTGAAGTTTCAACCTTCCAGCTGTCCCCACCTTCCAGATAACCTCATCCTAGTCCCTCAGATCTTGGATGGAATAAGTGCAGGAACTTCAGTTCTCACCAGTCACCTGTGGCTGCGTTAGGGCAGGGCGGTGCATTAGGAACCCTGGGGTTGTGACACTGCTGTTCTGTCCCTCAGGTGTTGTGTCCCTGGTGTGACATCGGAATGCTCAGTCTGAAGAGGAAGCAGAAGAAGCTGAAGGAGCCAGTGCCCAGTGGCAAGAAGAAAAGCACTAAGCTGGAAACGCTGAGTGACCTGGAGCGGGCGCTCTCTGAGAGCAAGGACACGGCGTCCGCGGTACGTGGCCCAGATATTTTCAAAATGGAGCTTCCTCTGAGTTCCTTGAATCCTTGTTTCTGTTTGTCACCCGTGCAGTGTGGCTTTCACCCTATTCCTCCTCCTGTGCTGCTCTGCAGGACTTTTGGGACTGCACTTTTCTGTGCTTGCTTTAGACTTCCCAAAATTGCTTTCAGTGGAAACAACGTGTGTTGCTTTGTGCATGAAGCAGCCTCACAGTTTGCCAGGCAGTGCCTGTAGCCGAGCAAAGCACAGGAAAACAAAAAATAGAGACCCGTTTTCCCCCACCATATCTAAACCTTATTAAAGATGGGTTTGCCCAGGTCTGATCCTTTCAAAGAACACCATAACCCAGCACCATTTATAATTAAAATAAACATTCTGAATAATTAAAGGAAAACCTCATGTATTATGGAGTCACTAAAACACTACTCTGGGTGGAGCAGACTCAGTCTGCTGGTGGGAAAGGGCATCCTCCCAGCAGACCTAATGCAGAGCCTCCCCTGTGGTCAGGTAATGAAGTCCTGTGGGTAACAAGCAGTGGGTTCAATGGATGGAGTTTGAATGTAATTGTCTCTTTAATGTGGGACATTTAAGTTTTGACCCATGGCAATTACTTAAAACCTGTACATGCATTGGTTTTGGCCTCCCTTGACTGAAGGCCAGAGTTAGAGCCAGCACTAACTGGGACAGGCTGGGTCCCCAGTCCCACCTGTCCCTCTGCCACTCCATCAGCTCTTGTTATGGAGATCCAGGGCACTCACGCGGGCTGCACCTAGGAAAGTGCAGTCATTCAGGGTGGCAGGGTTTCTTCTGACACACAAAGGGAACCAGAACCTTCCCACAGTGAGTTTTGGGCACTCCTGGCCTGGCTAAGCACCTGTGTGCATGTCACAATGTGCTGTGCCCTAGTCACACATCTGTCCAGGATGGACACAGCTGTCTCATTTTTCCAGGCTGACTTTAGTCCCGGCGTCACACTTGAAAGCCATGGTGTGGGAAATAACCATTTTGTATGTATTGATAAACCCTCCTCTTATAAGTTGTGACCCATAATAAAATGCATAGAATTGATTAGTTGCAGCTGTTATGAACAGCCTTTATGGAACTGAAATATATTACTGTCTTTATAGTAACTAATGCTAAAGATTCTTGAAAAAAGGATCATGAGAAGGTGTAGAGAGGGCAAACAGCACATTCAGGTACAGCTGGACTTTGCTTGCTCTTTACAACCCCCATAGCAAGTCCATAGGTCAGGGCATGGCCCTGAGCAGTGGGCAGTGTGTGCAGAGCAGGGGCTTGGAGGTGCATTTGTGTTTGTGAAACCTGCCCAGGCACCTTTTATGATTATCCAGAGCCTGACTAATGTTCACCGAGAAGTACCCGCAATCCAAACCTGCATTTCTTCAGGATTTGAGCTGCTTTAAGGCAGGTCATGTTTTTGTAGTACAAAACACAAAGGATTGGAACAGAGAGGGGGTTAGGAGCTGTATTATTACAAAGGAATAAGCTTTGTATCTCTGGGCCTTATGAGAAAATGGAAGGGAACTGAAGTCACACCACTGCACATCCCCACTGCTGTCCCTCCATCCCCATCACTGCTCCTCCATCTCCACCAGTGCTGCAGTTCAGAGGTTGAGAGCTCTGGAGGCGTTACAGGGGTGTGAGGAGAGTTGTAACGGTCCGGGACAGTCGCTGGTGGTCTGGGACAGTTGCCGGCATGTCTGAAGAGTGATGGAGCAGAGGGCACCCTGTTTGTAATGAGCAGTGTTCCTTTGGGGATAACCTTTGGATCCCTTCCAGATGGCCACGCTTGGAGAAGCCCGGCTGAGGGAGATGGAAGCACTACGTGCCCTGCGAGCAGCGAACGAGGTGAAGGTGCTGTCGAGCGAGGAGGATGCCGAGCTGAAAGTGTGTCTGTGCCAGAAGGAGCCGGCTGCTCCCATGATCCAGTGTGAGCTCTGCAGAGGGTTCTTCCACACCGGCTGTGTTTCGGTGCCCAGCGTCTTGCAGGGACCCCGGGTGTGGCTGTGTCCACACTGCCGCCGATCCGAAAAGCCGCCTCTAGAGAAGATCCTGCCGCTGTTGGCCTCCCTGCAGCGCATCCGTGTGAGGCTGCCGGAGGGGGACGCCCTGCGGTACATGATCGAGAGAACTGTGAACTGGCAGCACAGAGCACAACAAATGTTATATTCAGGGAATCTCAAACGCATCCAGGACAAAGTTGGCTCAGGATTACTGTACAGCCGGTGGCAGCCCTCGGCGGGCCAGCTGCCGGAGACAAACAAGGTGAGGCTGGGCTGGGCTTCCTGGTGGTGGGAGCGTGGGGTCAGCAAGGACAGGCTGTAACACTGTTCTGGGTTTGGGTTCAGTGCAGCTCCCTGCAGATCCCGCTGAGGCAGAGGGTTCGTGTCCTGCTTTACAGTTGTAGGGAGCTGGGTCCTGCTGTGCCCATTAGCCAGGATGTGTGTGTGTTCCAGCAGCAGCTTCGTGTCCCCTTCTGCTGACGTCCAGGAACAATTCCTCCCAAAGAGCCTGTTCCTCCCTCTCCTCCTCCAGCTTCTGCGCTCTGCTGCGACACACAGAGCTGCTGGAGCTGTTGTTTCTGGAGTGCTTATTATTCATTATTCAATTAGTCTTTATATTCTGTTCTTACAAGTATTCAAAGAGAGTTTTAAGTGTGGAGAATTACTAACAGAGGCACAAACTGTCCTGTGTGTTACCAGCTTGGCTCTCAGACAAGATTGTTTTTAACAAAGTGTCTTCATCCCTTACTGCTCCTCTTCCTTCTCACTTCCACTAGCCCTCTCCCAAGCTGAATATTCTGCTCGTATTGCTGAGTTGAGCCACAGTAGCTGTTTCAGATGGAGTCATGAGGGAGTTTGTCTTCCTCCAGTAAAGATCTTTCAGCAAGAAGCACAGGGAAAGAGGGAAAGGGGTTAAACAGCTTTCCTGAGATAACAAATGCAGAAAAAAATCATAAATAAAAGCTCCATGCAGTATAAAGAACATGAAACACCTCGAAATGGAATGCACTCTGTTGCTTTTACTTTTTGATTGAAATACCTTAGTTTTGCTAGTCCAGCCCAGTTACAGTTAGGCTGGTTTTGTGTTTTCATGTTCAGTTACATTAAAGGACAAAACATGCCACATATGCCTGAGGGAGTGTTACAGCTGCTTCTCAGTCACCCAGCTGTACCAATGGCTTGTGGTGACCAAATTTTTCAAGCAAGCAAGCCTAGATTTAGAAATTAAAACTATCTGTAGACAGCTGAGAGAATTTTTCAGGTCATTTAGGTCTGAAAGTATCTTTTTACTAGATCAACTATTGTAGCTGAAAAGGATAGACCTGGATTTTGGGCATGTAAGTTGATGTTTGGGCCTGAAATGGAAACAGTTTAAGTTCTATTAGCACACTGGTATTAGCTCAGCACGGAACCATGAGGTTCCTCCCACCTGAGAGCAGTGTAACCATTTTTGAGGGGTGTGGATCTCAGGTCATTTAACCTCCCAAATCAGGGTATCTCTGGCAGAGCTAGTGGAGGTCCTTGTGACTGCATTTCCCAAATCGGAGGTCCCTGGGAAGCTCAGCAGAAGAGCATCTGACCCTGTGCATCAGCCTGGGTCCCTCTCTGTGCCTGAGCCAGGGACCCTTCTGGAGCCAGTGGTGCTGTGGCAGGACAGGGGAGGCCTCCAGAGCCACGTCGGCACAGGTGTGAGCTGAAATTTCAGTTTTGATGGATTTGAGGTGGTCTTCTGGAGAATCCAGTATCTCAGCATGGCTGGCTGTCCTGTTCCAATTCTGTTTTCCCTGTCATCTGGGCTAATCCAACCCTCACTTCCCCAAGAGAAAGCTCTTCACAGTAACCACTGGACTTGGGCTGCTTTGGCACCGGCCAAAGTGAGGAATGTGGAGCCTTCGGGTGAGTTTGAAAAATTCGTTAGAAGGCAGCTGTGGGAATTGAAGAGACCCAGATTCTGCAAGGGGCCCAGGCACTTGGGTTGGTGAGGGAGTGTTGTGGAAGGCACCTGGTGAGTGGCTCTGGCAGTGCCAGTGCAGGACTGGCCCTGGCTCTGGGAGTGCAGGGTTTGCTGTTGCCATGTCCATGCACAGGCAGGGCAGGGCTGATACCTGGTGTCTGGTCCCATCAGGACATCGAGATACAAGATTTCAGTAAGAGAAACAAGTGTTGGTTCTATCACAGTTATTCCAAACTTGAAACCACACATTTAGTGAAACGATGTGCATTTTGTTTTCTAGGTGTCCCAGACAATTGGAGCAATGTCATTCTCCATGCCTCATGACTGGGATAACAGAACCATCTATTTGCATTCTCCATTCTCTACAGGACAGCACTGCATCCCACTTCATGGTTTGTAATCTTCACTTTAATTTGGGGTTTTTTCCCACCTTTCTTTTTCTTTGTGTTTGGTGGAGGGGGCAGCATGTCCTGGTCACCAGGAAATGGCTGAGCAGGCAGCACATCTGATGGTTCCTCCATCCCCTCACAACTCGGGAGCTCAGTGTCCAGCTCTGGCAGAGGGGTGCATTGCTCAAGGATACAGATTTCCCACATGTAATGAAAAGATGTGGCACAGTGGGGCAAGAGGTATGAGGAGAGCTGGCCCCTTCTCACATGAACAGCTCACCACGGGCTGTGGCCCCAGCCAAGCTGCAGGAGGGAGAAAGGAGGGGACAGACCCCTGGACATGCAGGAGGTGGATGGGGACAGCAGGGAGATGGTGCAGGAGGCCATGGGGTACTTGATCCACAGGACATGAGTCCATCTAAGCTTTGCTGCAGCACAACTGTCACAGTCAGAGATTGGAGCTCCCTCAGCCGCTGTGGGGGCTGCTGTGCCAGGGTCACTCAGTGCAGGCTCTGCGCTCTCCCCACCTCAGACTGTGTGAGTTGGACTAAAACAGACAGGCATCATTTGATGACTGTAAAAGAAGTTATTAATAATTTCTTGCCTCCTGATGGATAATGCTCGAGGGACACAAGTCTTACCTTCAAGCTTTTGAGTCAATGCAGCTCAGTGTTACACAAGACATTTCAGTGCAATGTCACTGTTCACATCAAATAAGGCAGTTCTTGTGTCACCAGGTTTATTTTTCAGGCCATGTTTGAGTTGTACTGTATTAAAAAGCCGTTATTTACACTATCATTTTGACCTCCCCAGCTGGAACTGGAGCTGGCAGCAGCAGTGAGTGGTGACTGTAGAGCAGGACTCAGTTGCCAGGCTCATGCTCTCAGCCCTCCTTCCTCTCCTGTCTTGGCTTCGCTTATGGATCCCAGGCAGTTTGTTCAGTAGTGAGGGGATGGATCATCACACTCTTGTAGCTCCAGAAGCAGGAGAAGTTGCCAGGAACGATGGCAATGGCTTATCCTTGAACCAGCAGGAAATGGGAGCATGGCAGGGTGCTGAGGCACAGTGCAGGAACTTCTGTGCAAGCTTTTATCTTTCCTTTTAACCCTGCTGTTAAAAAGGAGCAGTCAAGGGGGAACAGATAAGAGCTGATTCATACAGTTTCAGATTTAAAGCCTCTCACCATCTTTTAATATGCTACCAGAGAATTTTCATTATCTGTGCAGTTCTCATCAGTGCTGGCACTGAAGAATCCCTGTTCTCTCTGTCTTTCACACCAGTCATTAGCACCGAGCTGGATGAGCTGATGATGGAGGCCCAGCTGCTGCAGGTTTCTTTGCCCGAAATCCAGGAGCTGTACCAGACCCTGTTCACAAAGCAGAGCCCTGCTCTGCAGCCAGAGCAGAGATCACCAGGGGCGCCCACAAACGAAAAGGCAAGTGTCCAACAGCAGCACTGGGCTGGGTCACTATGGGGCAGGGGCTCTGCCTCAGCCTGTGAGCTTTACAGGGGTTTGTGGCTGCACTTCCATGAAAATACATTTTCCTTGTTCAAAAGGAATCAAGAAGTTGATAACATAGTGGTTACAAATTATTGAATATAATTTGTGGCCTGATATATTTTTGAAGTTTGGATCTGGTTTTTATGGTCACTCTCTGTTCTTTAAATACATCTGTCCTGATTTCATAGAATTGTAGAATCCCAGACTGGTTTGGGTTGGAAGGGACCTTAAAGCTCATCTCATTCCACCCCCTGCCCTGGGCAGGGACACCTTCCACTAGACCAGGTTGCTCCAAGCCCCATCCTGGCTTTGAACACTTGACTCTTGTCCGGTGTGGAGGTTTTCCAAGGGAGCTGCCGTGGAAGTTGTCGGCTCAGAGGCAGGAAATGAGAGTAGTTTTCTCTCTAAGTTTGGTCCCTGGGACCTGACCCTGCCCTTGGCTCCTCTCAGGCTGCTGAAAAGGCAGCACTGTCATATACTGCACTTAAGCCTATTCCAAAAATCAGGTATGGAATAAAAGGACAGTGGGTGTTAGTTGCATACTTAGAACCTTGCCAAACTGTCTTTCCAATAGAATGAGTGTTGCCGAGGCAAGAAGGATGGGATGAGTTACATGGAGAGAAAACTGAAGCGGCGCTTTGAGAGAGAGACCTTCTGCGGTGAGAAGAGAGCGAGAGTAAAAAAGATGAGAACACCTAAAAAGAAGAAACTGAAACTGAGTCACTCAAAGGATCTGTGCAGTAACAAACTGGAGAGAGAGCGGGAGCGGCTCCTGGAGCTGCAGCGTTCCAGCGAAAGTCACTTGGTCCCCTCAGACATGTCGTTCTCCGAGCAGGAGGACTCTGAGGACGAGGATGCCATCTGCCCAGCCCTGAACTGCCTCCAGCCCGAGGGAGAGGAGGTCAGTACAGGCAGACCCACAGTGGTGTTCCAAGTGCTGGGATCTGGGACAAGGAGCTGCCCGGGAACCGTTTGACAGCAGAAGCGCTGTTCATGAGGGTCACCCAGGGCCAGTCTCTGTGTGGCAAGACTGATCCCACCTGCCCCTGCTCCTGTGGCCGGGTTTGGTAGGACTGATCCCACGTCCCCTGGAGCAGCTGTGCCGCGTCAGAACATCTGCACGGAATGGGAAGGGGGAGGTGGGGCTGTGCAAACACCATGTCCATCTCTGCTCTTGGGATACAGGCGTGGGTGGGGGCAGTGCTTTGGGCTCTGCACAGGTCCTTCCAGGCTGGACATGAAGGAGAGGGACAGCCCCAGGTGTCTGGGAGGGCCATGGAGAAGTTGAGTCCGTGGTAGTTGAGCAAGCAAGAGGGGGGATAAGCGGGAGTGTGCCCTGCCCACATCTCCAGAGGGCAATGAGCAAGTGAATGCCCAGCACCAGGCAGCTGCACAACAGGACATTTCTCACTCGTTTACGTAGACCAGGAGCCCCAGAATGACCCACAGATGCTGGGGGGTGTTGCCTGGTCCTGCTCTGAACCCCATGTCTGTTCTTCACCAGGTCGATTGGGTCCAGTGCGACGGCAGCTGCAACCAGTGGTTCCACCAGGTGTGTGTGGGCATCTCGCCTGAAATGGCCGAGAAGGAGGATTATATCTGCACCAGCTGCACGGGGAAGGACTCACAGTATCGGAAGTAAAACTCCCATAAACCATTCAGGACTTGAGTAAAGAAGGTTCTCCCAGTTTTCCAGTTAAGCCACAGGGGCTGGTTTAAAAACCAGATTGCAAATGGTGCTACTTCTATCCTTATGGGATCATTTTCCAGAACTCAAAACAATTTTTGACACTTTTGTATTTTCCCTTGATCTGTTTGTGGTTGTTGAGGTTTGAGATGCTGACTGTTTGCAGGGGTTTCCACCGATTTGGAAGGCATTTGACACATGCACCTTTTACTGTACAGCATTCAGTTACCTCTCTGGGATTTACCGGCGTATTTAATTCAGCTTGGTTTGGGTGCAAAAAAAAAAACAAAAAACAAACAAAAAAAAAAAAAACCTGCACCATGAATTTTCCAATAATCCTCTTTTGAGGAAATCCCTGTTTACTCTGTTAACTCTTTGGAGACTTTAGTTTTTTTCCACTTTGTTTTTCGTAGACTAGGTTTATTTATCTGAGCAATAACTTCTATGTCTGGTTTCAGTGACTGGAATGACAATTGAACAGCGTGTTGCTTCTAGCATTGGTTGGTGTACAGACAGCAAATGTTAGATCCTAGTGTCACTGAGGGCCCTGTGATGTAGAAGACAGGAAAAAAAAATCTGTAAAGTAATTGCCACAGCTGTATTTTGGCTTTCTCCTTTTTTGGGTAGCTTGTATCAAATGTTGCAGTTTATATTGTGGAATAAACCCCTGGTTATGTTATAAAATTAAATGTTGGTGTTTTTAGAGAGTTTGAAATGCAGTTTTATTTTCCTCTGGATCCACACTGGTTGCATCAATGGGTTCTCTTAGCCAACAGATTCATCTTCCAAAACAGCCATGCAGACGCCGTGGTGTTTCCTGACCTCCCTCCTCTGTTCAGATTTGGAAGGCGAAGGCAGGTCAAAATGTTGTTCACACCAAAAAGAAAAAAACCCTCAAGTTTTCCAAAGCTGAAATTATTTGCAGGTTGATTGAACAAAGGATTTGAAAGTACAGTTTGGGACTTGGCAGGGGTGGGAATGGGGGTTTCATGCAGGAGGCAAAGGTGTGGGGCAGCTCCTCCTGCCAGCCCTGCCCAGCTGGGTTGAAGGAGAGACCTTCTCCCACAGCCCAGACTGGTGGCCACAGAGCCTGGGCTGGTGGCCACACTGACCTTCCCTGTGGCCCAAGGTGAGCTGGCTCCGCACAGCCCAGGCTGTGGCTCCCTTCAGCTGCTTCTGCCTGCATGTACCCTAAAAAACCGAGGAATAAGGACATTTCTGGAATGGTTCTGATTCTCCCAAAGGCTGTTCAGGTGTGGTGTTGCAGTGCTGCTAGAGAGGACTGGACCCTTGAGCAGGAGAGGTTGGGTATTTAGGCCCACAAGGCAATTCACACATGGGGCTGCACCCAAAATCCTTTAGAGAGCAATCACTACTGCAGAGCACAGCTGGAAGTGGCCTGGTGACAGGAGTGTGGCTCCAAGGCCTGCCAGAGGTGGAACTTGTAGCGCCCTGGGAGATGGGAGGGCTGGAGATCTTTGTATCGTAGAGTTCACTCTCTGTGTGACATCCTGTCATCACCAGAACCCTGGTGGGGTTTGTGTCCCCTCCACTCGTCACTGAGAGGAATTTGCTGGTAAGTTTTTTCCCCTCCTAGTTTTAGCCCTTTTCCCATGGGCAGGAGCACAAGGAGTCACTGGGTGGGGCAGAGCCTTGGAGCATCTGTGGCTGATAATGATGTGATGGGTCTGTGGGTGGGATCAGAACTGTGCAGGAATTCGGTCCTCCAGGGATTTGGTTTGGGGTTTTTTTTTAAAAAACATTGTTCATTTTTAACCATTAAGGAATCTTCAGCCTGGCCCAGATGATCCATCTGAAAGCTTTGGGGTCGAGAGACAACCTTAAGCCCATGTGCTTTAGTTGTGTCTATGCTTCCAGGGTGTGACTGGTTCTTTTTATTTAAGTACCAAAAGGATGTTTTGAGATTTGGGGGTTTTTTTCTCTTTTTAGTTGGAAGAATCTTTGTGCAATGCTGAGACAACAGTCCGAGCTGTGATAAAACCTGCTCTGAAACAAACACTGTATCAAGCCTGGCTCAGACTGGTCTGTGTTGCTGGGGGTCAGTGCAGCTCAGGGAATGGGGGCTTACAGCAGGGGTTCAGCTGCAGGCAGGGCCCTGCCAGGCACAGACACACCAACAAACAGCAACAATTAATGTAGCAACAATTAATGTTTCTGCCCGAGATGTGTCTGCAGGACAGGACTACACGTGTCACACGGGATTCGGGAAGGGACCATCCCGGGAATCCACACACAGCAGGAGCAACCTGGAAGCAACATGAAGGAGCTGGGATGGCTCTTCTGTGAGTCTGGAAATGAGTGTGCTGCTCTGAGAGAGAGGCTGTGGTACAGCCCTCCAAAATGGCATTACCCTTCCTCCAGAAGGGAACAAGCCGCATGCTGAGAGTTCTTCTCGAGGATGTGAACACGTGAGTCCATGAAGGAACAGCCCCTCACTGAGAGCAGCATCACTGGAAATAAAAGTCTTGTCTGGAAGAGGAGATAAAGCAGCCACAGGAGAGTAATGGAACTGCAGGTTCAGCACTGTTAGAGACAGACAAAAATGGGATTGGAGGTTCCAGCAAAAAGGGGCTTGGGTAGAAGGAGCAAATATTTAATGAAAAAAAAGAAAAGTCTGTGTGCTAATGTGATCTACTGATGTGATAATGCTGCTGGGTTCAAAATTCCACCTGCTGAGAGGCAGATTTGCTGCAAGGTGGTTGAAAAGAAATAGTGACGCACCCTAAATTCAGAGGTGCAGCTTCACAAAGGTTCCTTTTGCACCTCAGTTCTTCAGGTTCTGAAAGTTTTGTTAATCCTGCTGCTTACAGCAATGTTTTTAAAGGAATTTGGCTGTTTAATCACAATACTAAGCCAGATTTTATATATATATATGTGTGTGTGTGTGTGTGTATATGCTTGCCCCTTGAAATCTGTGTGAGCTGCGCATCTAAACGTAGAAGTAAAACCAGCAGGTCCCTGTCTCCAGAACATGGAATTCACTCAAAGAGTCACTCCATCATCCATTGAAGATAAACCCCATGTTGGAGAGTGTTTGTTGGGTGTTTGGGCTGCTTCAGTGTCTGTTGGGATTGGGGGTTTCATGTTTTTGTTGCTGCCTGGAGTTAAGTTTTAACCAACAGGGAACAGGTCGGGCTAATGCCTTGTAACTCAGGCTGGTGCTTTGCCTGCTCCATGTGCTGCCCCAGTTTTTCTTGGGGGATTTTTGCTGGTCCCACCAGTCCCATGCCTGCTGCACATCTTCCTGTGGGGTTTTCCTTGGTGCAGGTCTGCAGGGGAGCTCAAAGCTCCTGTGCCTTGCCTGTGAGCTGAAACAGCACAGGAGGAAACAAGGAGTTCATCATAAAATACCTTTTCATGCCAAGAATATCTTTTTGTGGTGACTGAACTGTCTTCCCTAAAGTGCATCGGAGGAGGTGAATGTCAGAACCATTCAGCTTGGAGGCAGAGTGTGCAGTGTTTGATCAGGGAGCTCTGCATGCTGGGTTTGCAGGAGCATCCCCACAGAAACCTGTGAAGAGCCTGTGCAGTGTACAAACTGGTGGGAATTCAAACCTGGAAAAGCCTGGAAGATTTAAATAAATGGAATTTCTACAACTATAGAAGGATGAGTTGGTGCATTCAGAGTGGTTATTCAGTCACTTCAGCAAAAGGATGATGGGCTAGACAGGCATTGCTCTGGGATACCCTCCTCTCCCTGAAACACAGCCTCGGTTTTCACAAAATCTTTGCAAGGCAGAGAAAACAATTCCCATTGTGATCATTTTTGCCCCTTAACAAATACTTGCAGAGACGTGTCAGACCTGCTGTTGGCCAGGCAGCACTGAGTGCCAGTGATAGTCTGGTGTGAGGGAATCAGAGAATCACAGAATCATGAAGGTTGGAAAAGCCTTCTAAGATCAGAGTCCAACCGTTAACTAACAGTGCCACATTCACCACTAACCCACGTCTCCAAGTGCCACAGCCACAGACCTTTTGAACACTTCTAGGGATGGTGACTCCACCACTGCCCTGGGCAGCCTGGGCCAGTGCCTGACCACCCTTTCAGGGAAGCAATTTTCCCCAATATCCAACCTAAACCTCCCCTGGAGCAACTTGAGGCTGTTTCCCCTTGTCTTGTCCCCTGTTCCCTGGGAGCAGAGACCTGGACCTCCTGCCTCACTGATTTTGGTGCAGCAGGAACTCACATTTTCCACTAAGCCAAAATCCTGGGACAGTGCAGAGATGAGCAATGCCCCCAGGCTTGCAGAAGCCATGCTTATATAAATACGTATTTATTCCTCCAGCAGAAGCAGCATTTTGGATTGGAAAGAAAAACAGAGAAAAATACATGATCCTGCTCCGCCAGCATTTGGTGCCTCAGGCAAGAAGCCCACTTTGTGTATGTCAATACTGCTTTGTAATGATAGTAACGCTTTGAAAAATTGCTTATACTTCCTAAATAAAGAGCTGCAGAAAACACAGGTGGGCTCCTCAAGGCTCACACTGGGTGGTCACCCCATCAGTGTGTGGGAAAAGGGGCGTGAGGGACTCGGTCTGGTCACGGTTCCTGCTCCAGGGGCCTCCCCCCTGTGACATCCCACCCTTAAGGGGAAGGGAGCACCCAAGACTCGCGAGTGCCCGTGGTGGGAAGGAACGACAGAAAGTCAGAGGGTCTGCAAAAACTCAGGAAGCTTCATTAGGACATCACACACTTGGTGTGGAAGTTGGTATGTGAGTCCCTGAGCTGCCATACGAGCACATGGCAGTGGGGTTTGGGTGAAGGGGTAGGGAGAAAGGGAAGAGAAAGAAGAGAGGAAGGTGGATTAAAGAGGGAGAGAGAAAAAGAAAGGAAGAGAGAAGAAGAGATCCCCAGTCCTGGTTCTGGCGTGTTGATCCAGCTGTGTCGATCCAACCGATGGGGTGTGTCCAGGGTCCTGGGAGCACTGCCCTTTCCATGGGCAGGATTCCCTGCTCCAGGGGCAGGTTTCTCGCTCTCCCTGCAGACGAGTTCTCACACTCAGCCCATTCCTTCGGACCCTTCTGGAAACGGGCTGGAGCCTTTGGGGTCTTGGGCGGTCTGGATCCCGGTGTATAGCCCATGCCCCTTCCCGGCCCCATTCCTGCCCCTGTGCCGTGCTATGCTGATCCCCAGGAACCACAAACAAGGATGTTTGTCTCGGGAAAAAAAAAAAAAATCTCTGCACGGCCCCTTCTCCAGCCACGTCTTGTTCTTTCTCGCAGCTTGTTACCCCCACCAGCCCTCTGGCTGTTATAACCAGCAATCCCTGACAGTTGTTACCCAGCCCTTGCTTTCCCTGTCCCTGTCTGGGACCCCCCGACCCTCAGGGACTCCCCCCCACCCCTCACGGCCAGCGCGGTCCTCCGCGCCGCCAGGGGGCGCTTCGCGCCGAGGCCCCCGCGGCCCCTCCTCCCCGCGCGCCCCGCGTTTGGCGCGCGCGGCCCGCGGAGGGGGCGGCGATGGCGGGAGGCGGCGGCGGGCCCGGAGCGGGGCCGGTGGCGCAGGGGCTGAAGGAGGCGCTGGTGGAGACGCTGACAGGGATCCTGTGCCCGGTGCAGGCGGTGCGAGCCGCTGCTGAGGAGCAGGTGAAGGTGCTGGAGGTGACAGAGGGTGAGTGAGGGCCGCGTTGAGGGGGCGGGGGGTCCCCAGGCCGCCGCCGCGGGTCCCGGTGCCGGCGCCTC